GATGAAACAGCACCGAGGACCCCGAAGGGAGCTTAACTGGACAATGTTCTCGCGTCCATGTGGACCTGGCATTACACCGAGTTTAAGTCGAGCGACGAAAAAACGCAGAATGAGAGGAGAGAGAGAGAGAGAGAGAGTGTGCGGTGGTGCGCGCGCGTGATTATAAGGTTGTTAACGACGCGCAGAGTCGCGTTCCCGGCCAACTGAAACCCGATGCAAATTACGCGGTAATATACAGTCCAGCATGCTAATAACGTTGCAGTAAATATCACCGCGTATTTCGCGTCGAGAATATATGGCCGTGCCGCGTTTATTTTGCCCGCGAGATCCTCGAAACGATACACCGGGGCTGCGCAAGCGCCCGTGGCGGTGCACGGGTTCGTTAAGTCGGGTTTACTTTTAGTAGAATTAGAGGGGGTGTTTTACACGGGGTGGAATGGGCCGATTATCTCGATTTCGAGAAACAAAGGCCACCTTGAAATATCCGGCAAACGTTTATAGAAACAAGATACGTATTTTAAGATAAGATTTCATACGCGAAGAGAAGTGCATTCCGTTCCAAATAATTTCGAATCATCATTTCGATAATTCAATTCGATAATTTCGAACAGTCCATATTACTTTTTAAGTAAGTAGGATTAAAACAACATCGATGTGTAAAATAATTAAACATAAAATTATTGTAAATATTTCGTCTGTCGCACAGCATCAATTGTAATTAAACACTTGACGCTATTTATGTAGAAAACCTGTTATATTTCCAATAAGAACGTATTTTCCACATATACATCAATATAAACTAATGCAAACAGATCTAACGAGTAAGCAAGAATTTTCAAGAAAGATGCCTTTGCGTGACACAAACTTAAATGTATTAAATTTGCACCCGAGGCTATGCAGCAGAAGAGTATCGCAAATTTCCAAATCCGACGCTCTGTATAAGTCGAGCCGTGATTCACGAACTGGTTTACGATTAAGAAGTTTGCAACTTCATAATTTAATTGGCTCCGGATACCACTGGGTTACATAATATGATGGCTGAGTTATTTAAAAATACTTGAATGATTGGAATATTTTAAGAGTACTCCTACTGCGTGCTGTGCCACCCTCTTCCAGACACGAAAAACGTTTCTGTCGTTACGCTGATAAGCAGCAATTAACCGAATGATTTACGTACACGCCGTACCGATGTCGAACCATGCACGACCGATTATTTTGTAAACTTCAGGACAGGTTGGAAGAACGGCAGCGACGACAAATGTCTGATTTACTGGCGACCTTCTTTTCCCGAAGCTGGCCCGTGACCGGGTGCCTCGTTAATTATTCCCAGGTAATGACGCGAAAATTGCCAGCCCGAGATCGTTTTTCGGATACTTTCTCCATTGAGTCTTTGTCGAAGGTTTCTTCACTCTCCGAGAACCATACTAGTATACCTTAGTTATTTTGAAATAACGATTTTCCCGCTGATTTATCGACGCGTTACATACTCACGCTAATTGTAGGTGTTAAGGGCCGGCGTGGCACGGTTCGACACATCCTCCGGCTTCGTTTATTTCTGTTTGCTCGTTTCAAGACCGTTCCCTCTCCGCTGATAATCAGTTACAACTCTGTAGCGCGAGGTTTGTGCTATTAATCACAGACAATCACGGTTAATGCTGTTTGAGTTCGAGCATCGAGACATCGATATTTCATCAATCGTCCGTGATTAAAAAATTCGTCGTAACCTGTTCTTCCTTGTTGCAACGATGTAACTTCGTAAACGGACATCTTCTGGTTTATAAACACGTAACCGATCTTGATGTCTCGCGATGTTAATTATATCACAGTCATACAACGAAACGTTTCCTTTTGTTTTCAATCATTTCTGGTTTGCAAACCTTGACTTACGAGCAGTACCGTTGATACAATCGTTCTCTTCTGGTACTGATCGGCTGTCTCGATGATTTCGCGCGCAAATCTTTCTCGCTTGTTACTGACGTTCCAATGACTCGGGATTATAAACGAGTCACGATGATTAGAACAAATTTCCAATTCGTACATTCGACACGTGTGACAGTCAAGCTTGGAAATAGAAATCTTGAAAGATTGTACGAACACTTAAATGGAAACAATGACAAAGCATCGGAATTTTAACAGTTATTAGATATTACGTTGGAAAATTTTAGAAATTTTGCAATTAACGGAGTTATTACATGTGGAATTCTTATGAGATTCAAATTATTAGAGAAAATAATTTTTATTATTTTAACGTTGAAATAATATCAACTTTGACGATATTGTTTAAGATATACAATAAAAAATAAGAATTGTAGGACTTGTAGACAATCTAAGTTGCAAGTC